TGTACACGGTGTGTACATCAATGACATGTCCGAAATGAATGTACCCGTGCATATACATAAGAAAACGGAGCAAATATAGGAGACAAAACTTTGTCCTTATTAGCTGAGCAATATTTTTGGGCCGAGAACGGGCCAATGTGCGACATTTGTCAGGTTAAGCACTAGATTTTGAAGGGCCCTGGTCGTCAACGGGCAGTGGGGTAGGCAGGGATATTTTTTTTTCCTAGGCGAAAAATAAAGGGTTTGTGTAGAGCAAAAGGAAGTAGAGGAGGCAACTACAGAGTTAGATGAATAGCTAAACACCTATATCAATTGTAGCACCTGGAGCAGCCATAGTCAGTAAGATCACGATCGGCGAAGGTCTCGAGGCCGCAGCTATGACATCGGGAGACCAGCCTTTCGTACCTACATATGCATTTTTTATTTTCTTGCCCTGGGCAGCTGTCCAAGGCAAGCTCAAGGTGGCTCCACCACTGTCAACGGGTTGTGTGGTCGGATCGTAGGCCATAAGCTACTGGGCTTGAAGCAGGTCACTGAGGGATTTGGATCATCTCCACTACAAAAAAGTAGTGGAGAGACCACTACTTTTAATCTCAAACGTTGATTACTTAGTAGGCGGTTATGATACAATCTAAATCTAACACTTACCATACCCCCGTGTATTGCACTCATTCCTAATTTGCACTAAAAGAAAAAATCATAAGCATCAACTAGATAATCAATGGCTGTGATTATGTAGTGGTCCCTCCACTATTTTTTTTGTAGTGGAGAGGATCCGAATCCGTCACTGAGACTTGTAGCCCACTTGGTTGGATTTGTGTTAAATGTGTCGAATATACGAGGTTATTCCCAGCCCAAATCTTGACGAAAGCAGCAAAATAAAATAAAACAAAACACTATTATAAAAGAGAAATTAATTCTAGATCAAAATCATTGGGATTCTGATCTTCTTCACTATAAAAAGTGGTTTAGACACTACTATTATCTCACAACTATTGATTTGTTTCATTGGATGATTGTGACTTCTCTTTTTGAGTAATAGCCATTCACTAACAAATCGATTTCTATAATTAAAGTAGTGACCTCTCCTACAAATTAAGTAAATATATATACTTACAGAGTTCTCAATCCGGATCCGTTCATCTTCTCTTGAAGCTCGATGATCGCTCGTTAGGGCATCCGCAACACCATTCTTACTAACAACTACTCTACAATCACCAACATTTGATGCAACGAGCTCTCCATCCTTTAACAGCACAGTAGCTACACATGCTCCACTTCTTACACCCTGATCGAGTCATGCATAAACATTTTAAAAACAAATTTATAAGTTTTAATCTTTCTTAATTAATTAAATATTTAAAAAAAAAACACCTTAACTTTAGCCGATTATCGAATAGCCTTGCACCACTTTTAAACATTAGAAAACCCCTTAAGTTAGGAGTAACCAGAAAACCCCCCCTTAAAAGTCAGGGGTTGTTAAAAAACCCCCCTTTAATTAATTTAAAGATTTTATTAGAAAACCCCCCTACTAAGCAAAATATATCAGAAGATTGTAATTTTCCCATGGATGGGTTGCGCAGGGGGATATTATTGCCCATGAGAATTGCGATTAACACCTGTTATGTTTTTGTTAAATAAAATCTTAAAGTTATACTTGTACTGTTTTCCTCCTTTTTCCTGCATTTGGCAGTTGAATAATGAGGTGAGAGTGCATACTTGGCTAAGAAATTCTGTATCTGTGGCCAAATAGCCTTTCTTGACTGCTACTTCTAAGGACTGATCATCTTCATGTTGAAGATCGGCTAGAGCTGCTACTATGTTATCGGCGAGCTTCTCTCGGACAAACTCCATGGCTGCTCGTCCTCGAGCTGCTACTATGTTATCGGCGAGCTTCTCTCGGACAAACTCCATGGCTGCTCGTCCTCCATGTCCATCAAACACACCGAAGAATGCCTAACAAAAATTTCATGAAAACATTAATTATACTCCTCTACTACTTCTCAAAAATTTTCAAGTCAGCAATTGGGTTGTGTATGCCACGTTGGTTCACCTCTTTCACAAAATCACAGAGATGTTTAAATTTGCGTAAATTCAAGAGTAGGCCCAATCAGTTTGAGGGTTTGGAAATATGATGACTTGAGTCCCGAAAGGATTGAAAAATCCAGAAATTTTCTCACTTAACCGTAAAACGTTATAAATTCTCCCACTTAACCCCAACACGACGTTATCCTACAACTGTTCGAGGACAAAAACACTCTCAAGGCCTTAAAATTGCATAATGAAATTATAACATCCCGATTATTTGTAACGTAAAATAATAAAACCTCAAAATTTTCAGTCTATTAATTATCTGTCTTTCTCACGACAAATCCTACTTAGGTTGAAAATTTAAGGTGTGTGATTCACTCTGGAATATCACTGTTGTTGTTTTTAGGTGAAGGATATGAGGGTACTTTGGAGCGCATTAACTTTGGAAAAATAGTGGAGAGAACACTACCTTTTATCACAATAGTTGATTTATTTAGTAAATGATTGCAATTTATATTAAACATGGCACTCACTATTCCCCTTATGGGTTGCACTAATTACTTTGTAATTTGCAATGGAGGACAAAGTAAAAAATATTAATTATATAAATCAATGGCTATGATAAAAGTTAGTGGCCTCTCTACTTTGTAGTATTAGTGGCCTCTCTACCTTTTATCACAATAGTTGATTTGTTGGGCTATTTTAGTCATTTCACCCAGCATGATTTGCACGTGAGGTACTAGCTAGACCTAACAGCGTTAATTTTGGAAGTTTTCTAGCAAAACTTATTGATGATTAAGTGACATTTCCAAAGTATTTTTGCGTTATGCGTAAAATGCCCAAACTTGTTGGGGTCTTCTGAAATTTAACCTTTAAATTGCCCAGTAGGATAGTTTGATAAATAGATGTGGCTTGGCCGCTTGGGTTAGGTGATTATCATAAGTTCAGTCGCATATATAGCATTCAAAGTTCATGATAGTAAAATAGAAACAGTTAAAGCATGTCATTAATTTGCATATGAAATATATGATGGGATTAATGTTCAAGGTTAATTAGGGAGGGGTTGGCTAAACAAAAAGTTACAAGTTTCCGAAGAACTATGAATATATAACCACGAAAGAAGTAGGAAAGGTTGTGAAAACCATTCAAAAACAAAATCAAATAGTATAGAAAGATAAGACTACAATCCCTAATTTCAATAGTTATATATGTTGCCTCAGTTAGTATTCAGATAATGATAACGGATGATACTCTAAATAGTATTATATATCAATAAAATTTCAACAAATTTCATGAAAAAGCCAGTCAATTCGTCATTGTTGAAATGTGTATACCTTGTAGCACTTTATGTAAGACTCGTTCAACGTACGGTTAAGAGTTCCTAAAATCATTCACTTTAGAGTATAAGAGGAGGATTGCAAAAGGCTTTGCAATGCGTTAATGGTTGGTTGAGTTCAAGATTTACGTACAATAGGTAAAATTTTCTGCCTAGCTCATAACTTAATTAGATAAAAGAAACAAGATAGAATTCTTTCTACAAATCGAATTAAGATGATTAAGTCAAAAGAACAAGCTCTCAAGAGTAACATTCTTTCACCATGCACACCAAAGATGATTTAGCTAATTAAAGAACAAGCTCTTAATTAAGAACAATTCGGTTAATATTCTTTCTACAAATCGAAAGTGTTCATTTGTTTTAAAAGAGGATGCAACTTGCTTTAGATGCTTCTAATTAAAGAGAAACAAAAAGAAACAATGAGTATAGAAATTCTTAATTAATAAAACACCCTCTTACTTGTCTCGAAGCTCCATTGATGTTGGTTAGAATCCTATATCCGTCTTCCATAGCGTGCCCCCTCGTGCCTTTCCTACTTGCTAACCAATATCCGCTCCTCCCGTCAACTTTAAACCCCTCATCGTCGACCGACGTTTCTCGCTTCTCTGTCTCCTCACAAAACCCTAGTAGTTCAAAACACGGTTTCGGTATCTGAATCCTCTGAGGCCTCCTCCTCTCCCTCTGTACCCCTTCCTCCCCGCTTACGTTGATCATCTCCATGCTAGGCAATGCATCCAGTTCCACGCTACAAACTATCGACTCCTTATCGCACAATGCTTTTTAATACCTCTTTGTGGAGACGGAGGGCGAACCCGAAAACCTTTTCCAAGAAGGAGAAGGGTTAGAGCAGTTGAGAGCCATAAGGGTTGCCTTGATTTCTTATTAGAACTCTGTAGTAACGTGCAAAGAGAGGGAGAGGGATGTATGTACATGTGGAAAACTAAGGACTCCAATGTATCACAATCATCTCCCCCACCCCTAACTGTCCAACAGAAGATCCTTTTGTTGGAAGGCAAAGGCTTACACGTTAATTTGTAAAGGGCTTTTGTCTCTTTTCTGACGGGTCAACAAGGAAAGAATTGTGTGAGGATTTGAAGCAATATACGGCAGAGGATGCCTTCAGTGCCAAGGAAGAGGGGGCCAAGGAAGAGGTCGGCGAGGTGACGCGGTTTTTTTTTTAATAACTGGGGTTTTTTAGGTATTTGCTTCCTCAAGTCATCTGTATTTTGAAGGAACTCCCTCAAACCATCGTGTTCCCTCAAAACACGTTAGTAAGTTGAAATAGGCCCCCTTAGTCGGATTCGGATCCTCTCCACTACAAAAAAAATAGTGGAGGGACCACTACATAATCACAGCCATTGATTATCTAGTTGATGGTTATGATTTTTTCTTTTAGTACAAATTAGGAATGAGTGCAATACACGGGGGTATGTGGTAAGTGTTAGATTTAGATTGTATCATAACCGCCTACTAAATAATCAACGCTTGAGATTAAAAGTAGTGGTCTCTCCACTACTTTTTTATAGTGGAGAGGATCCAAATCCCCCTTAGTCAGCTGCGGGTTACAAATAACTAAAGAAGGAATATTTCATTGTATTTGGCTTTTATGCTGAATGGACCGTTACTCCCCTCCCCTTTACGCCTCGTTTGGTACGCGGGAATGAACTCAAATAAGAATGAAATGGAAGAAGGAATGGAATAGAATTATGTGAGAATAAAATAGCCATTCTCATTCTCACGTTTTGGTGTAATTTATAAAATGAAGTGTAAATGGACGTATTTTAAAATTGTATATTTTATTGATTCTTATTTTAAGTGAGAATGCCCATTTTCTATCATTTCATTGGGAACGCTCATTCTCACATAAAATAGGAATTGGTGAGAAGTGAGAATGAGCATTCCAACTTTAAAAAAGAGAGTGTGTTTGATATGAAGGAATGAGAAGTGGGAATGATCATTCCATTCCACCCCATTCCCGCGTACCAAACGAGGCCTTATTGTCCTAAATTCATTACTCTCTTCACCAATAACAGTCCTCTCCTCTCCATCAACGGTTTTTTTACTATATAAAAATCATTGAAGAACCTCCAAGCTCATCCATTCTTCACTTCCCAAAGTCTCTGCTATATTGGTTTCAGTCTGCAATGGAGTTTTCAGTTTCAAACTTCTCTTCTAATAGAAATGATAGTGTTAGGACTACTATATATGAGGTATTTTTGTGGATTGCAATGCGAGATTAGGATACACAAACAATCCACTTCTATGGCTGCCTACAATATAAGAATTCATCATTCAAGGGTTGTGGTATTAACTACTCATCAGAACTTGTCAGCAGCTTGCTCCCCCGTCACTGTCACATTAATCACAGCGACTCATACCACTTACAGCTGACAATTGTAAAGAATTAGCTGAATAGCTGGCTGCATGGACTCGATCAAGATTACATAAATACCCTCATCAGCTTGGTATAAATAGGCACATCACCTGTTGACCAAAGGTTGGAAAATTTTGCACACTTAGAGAACTATCACTAGTAGAAAATCAAGCAACCTAGACGGAATTTTTTTCCCATCTAGTTTGACCCAACCTAGACAAAAAAATTATCTAGGACGGCCTTTCGTCTATGTTGCCTACCTAGATGGAATTTTCCGTCAAGGTTGACGCAAGCTAGACGGAAAATTTTCATCTAGGTTGTATCCTAGACCAAAAATTTCTATCTAGGATGATGGGTACCTCACTCAAATTATTTTTGGTGCGCTAAGTTCTGAGCGCACAAGCAAAATTTTCGTATCCCCGCCTTCAAAATATTTCCGTCTTATTTTCCCCCTCATCTTTCAAACCCTTTAATTTTCCAATCCTCTCCCAAACTTTTCAAAACCTAAGTCCAGCCCTTCACCCTTCCTCTGGCCTTGTCCTCCAAGCCTTAACACCCCCACCACACCACTGCCGTCCTCTAGTCCCTCCTTCTCGCCAAACCCTTTAATTTTCTAACCCTTTAATTTTCTAATAGTTTTGAATTTTTCTTTAATTTTGACATTTAGAGGGAATTTTCTTTATTCTAATAATTGTCTTGTATGTAGGTCTCAATAAATCTTAGGGGGGAGATTATTTCTTCTACTAACAAGTTTGAGATGCGAGAAAATGAAGTAGAACATGTTGTACGTATTGAACGTGTTCGATTAGTTTCAAAAGAGAGATGAAGATGAAGTTTTCTTAAACAATTTGCACTTGTATTTTATATGTCAATAATTAGTATTGGGAATTCAATGTTGTACTTGTTACCTGTAATAATATTTTTATCTATATTTTATACAAGTATTATTATGGTTGCTTGAAAATTTTTCTATTTATATTATATTTTCTTAAATAACATATGTGGTATGTCTGTACATTGTTGAATATGAAATCAAAAGCTAGAGGGTATAGAGAGTGAATTTTATTTTATTTTTATTTAAATATTTAAAACATCCAAGATGGAAATTCCGTCTAGGATGCTCATCCTAGACGGATTTCCGTCTATGAAGCATCTTTCCGTCTATGATGGTCATGCCTCCTAGATGGAATTTTGAATTCCGTAAAGGTTGGATTCCGTCTAGTTAGATCATTCTAGATGGAATTCCATCTAGGTTGAGTCAATCTAAACAGAAATATCCTAGAGTGACTTTTCTAGACGGATTGTTGTCTGGATTGATCTATCTAGACGGAATTCTGGGCAATATGGATTGTTTTTTTCATCTAGGTTGGTTGTTTTTCTACTAGTGTATATCAGTTCCTTTCTCCTCTTAAGATCATGACCAACTTGATCATCGGAGGAACCATTAGAGAACTCAACTCCCGCTCTCTAACGTGTTTGCATATGTGCATGACTCTCTTCTTATTAGGGATTAGCCATCAAAGAAGATCAAGATGAAAACACTCAAGTGCCACTAGGAAAGAATCCTAGAAGGGGGTGAATAGGGTTTATACTAATCTAATCTATTTTAAATACCAATTAAAACTAATTAATAATATATCCTAGCAAGAATGATATAACAAGAGATATATGCAAGGATATGAAACTAACACAAGGGTGAAACAAGATATAAACGAAATAATGGATGAAATTATCAATGAGAGAATAAGATGAACAAAGATATAAGTGCGCCAAGCCTAACTCAAACAAGCAAAATGATCACGGAGTTCGGACCTTTCGTCCTACGTCTCCGCTCCCCACTCTCGGGGAGAAATCCACTATCACACTGGGTTTTCAATGATCACCCGAAAACGTTTACACCTCACACTCGGTTTTCTAGCTCACTGAAAACTTTACAATCCACACTCTTGCAATCACACTCTACACCCTGTAAGTGTTGGTCTCTAGCCAGTGTCTCCCTCAAGTGTTAGGAATTACAACCTACCTCTAGACATTACCACCTACCCTACTCCTCTTGGGATGATTCTGTCTCTCACCACACATTTCTCTCGGTGTACAAGTATATTACAAAGTGTATCCTATAATTAGGCTCTCTACAACAAATGGTTGTTCTCTAATTTGGATGAGAACACAATTAAGCTCACACTCTAAGTCACATAATCCCACAACCCAATTATATAATGTATGCAAATACAATAAGTTCAATGGTTGTGTGTGAACAAAAAGTATAATCAAAACAAACTAAACTCAATTATGAAATTCTAGCTTATAGAGATGATAATCAATAAACAATGTAAATATAAAGCTAGAAATGAGTTTAAAAAAACTTCTCTAATGATAACAAGAGAAAAGGAGAAGAGTTTTATGCTCAAACACCAACAGATGATCTTCTCAAGCTCTTGTGAAATTATCTTCACAAACTAAAACTTGAAAATGCTTAAAAGCTTCTTAAACAAACTTAAACCAAAACTTAAACCCTTGTTAAAACACTCTTAAACTTATTTAAAACATTCTCTTTCGTTCTTTAGAAGTTAGAGGCAAGGGGGAGATATAGGATCATAAGTCAAAGCCCAAAAACCTAAGAAATCCCAGCAAAAAGACAAAATAACGGCAATATGAAAATCTGAAAAAACTAGTCGTTATGTCGTCGGTCAACTGATCGATCGACTGATGAGCTGACCATTACAGCAAACTGGCAGCTCATCGGTCGGTTGAAGAACACGTTCAATCGACTGATGACCTCATCAGTCAACTAGTCAGTCGACCAGAATAAATTAGAAACTTTTACTTATTCTGGGCGATTTCTTCAGTCGACTGAACTCCAGGCGATTTCTTCAGTCGACTGAACACATATATCAGTCGACTGATAACATGTTATCAGCCTGTTATGAACAGTAAAACTGAATTTCAAACCTCTTTAAAAATAGCAAATAAATTCAGAAAAATATAAAACTTTGGGAAATGATTGTAAACATGAAAATGAACATGTTACAAAAAACTAGTTTTGAAAAAACATCTTCTATTTGTAAAATATCATCATTTTACAAATATGTCCAAAACATGAAAATAAAAAACACTTGTTTTTGATATTTTAGCTAAACCATGTTTTGAAACTTTACAAAATGATTTTATAGACTTAATAAAAGATGTATATAATTATTATTAAGTACATAAACAAATAACTCAATATTTTCACAAAAATGCATGTTTTGTAAACTTTCAAAACAATAAACATGATTTCATTGAACTATATAAACTATTTTCACAAAAATGCATGTTTTGTAAACTTTCAAAACAATAAACATGATTTCATTGAACTATATAAACTTGATATTGATGAAATCATATATAAGCATGATTTCATTGAACTATATAAACTTGATATTGATGAAATCATATATAAGCATATAAACATGAAACAAGTATGAATTTTTCAATTATATTTAATTGTTTCATATATATAAACTTGAAAACTATATAAAACCAAAACATATATGTATATATACAACTATATATATACAAAACCAAAACATGTATGTG